TTTTTTTTCGTTTTTTAGGTTTTGGGGACGTGAAATGCTGAAACGACGTGTCGCTGTTGTTGTTGTTTCATTCCCAGCAACACACATGACTGAAAGTCGCGTGCGAATATGCTTGAGTGCTGCTCATACAAAGCAAATGCTCGACCATGTTCTCCGTGCAGTCAGTGAGGTCGCCGTTCTCAGTAATGTTTTATCTCCAGCAACAAAACGGAAATATGAAAATTTGGAGGTTGAATGGTAGTTGAACGTTGCAAAAATCCAGTGAAGTGATATGCTCACCTATTCTCTTCAATCGATCTTTATTTCTTTTGAATTAATGTTTCTAGGCCATTTTAAATGATGGGTTTGCTTGGATAATGTAAATTTAGCTTATTTGAAAATGCTGAATGTTTTTAGATCTTGTAATTCCAATTGCAAACAACTGCGGTACGCACCAAACTGGCCGGTGCGATCACGCGCTTTTGCACTTTTTCGTGTCATAGTAAGATCGCTTAGGGTTCCAGCAGCTAGAGTGTGTGAGTTACTGATTCCTGATTCTCGATGTTCAGCTAATTGTTGTGCAGCTATGAGGTGCCAAACTGATGTTGGCTTCAGTGATCTGAAAGAACAGAAGTGGCTGATGTGCGAAGGGGACCCCACGATGGGCATCCGATCACTACTTCTTTTAAGCATTACCTCTGCTACAGTGAAAAGAAATGTCGCCATTACTATACGATCAGTGACAATGCAAATTTTTGTATAATCATGGTAAGCATGCATAATATGATCTGAAGTGCGGGAGCCCGAAGTGAAGTGAAATTTGCTAGCTGAATTTGGTAGCTGAAAATAGCCTAGCGTATCTGCATGGAAATAGCATGAACAAGGATGAATTCTGTAGTTTTAGGATCATACTGAGATGATTCACTAACACGTAAAAATTCAGCAGCATAGCAAACGAGAAAAAGATTGCTCACAGAGAACAACATTTAATTTATACAAGCACGATACATGAGCTGCACATGCCTGTTTTATGCATACGGGTTCACAAATGAACAACGGATGTCTTCATAAAAGTGCAACTGCCCACATAGTTTGAATCGCAAGTTAAATGGGTGCTAACAGTGCTTCTACTGGGATTGCCATCTGTTCATATGTGAGATCTGAATTTGTGTGTACTTGCTCAGAGATTAGAATTTACTCAGCCTTGCTCCCGAATTGGCATTTTGTCAGCTGTTGCGAAATCGTAACTTTATGAGTCTGCACACATTGCGTTCGCATGCACTCGAACTAAATTTAAAATCTTTAGTTCATATAAGAACACAGAATGTTCATGTGATGCTTGGCCTTCTCATGTTTCTTGGTTCCTGAAATCCCTTTTCCGCCAAAAAACTTTCATAAATGACTTGCATGAATTCTTCAAGGAGTTCGTAAGTGAGATCCAGGTGTAGGAGAACGATGATTTTAGAGGCTGATCATCGCACTTGAAGTGGGAATGTGCTCCAGAAATTTTAGCTTTCCAGCTTCAGCGGTTACTGAGATGAAAGCTG